AAGGGGATAAAAGCACACAGCTGTGAGTGGAGCTTGCAGGGGAACTGGGGGCTCCCTGGTTCTTTCACTGCAATATGTGTATGGCATTGCTCCATAGACCTCTTTCTTCTCCTTCTTGCACCTTTCCCTCTCTTTTCCACTTGTTTCTATGTGTCTACAACTCTTGGCTGGCAAAGCCCAGCCAGTTAGGCCTGGTAATGCCTTGCAAAGCCTACCACTTATTTTCAAAGCTTTTATTTTTGTCTGCTCTGAAGGTTTTGTCATTAGGTGGTAAAAGTGTGCTTGGCTCTTTGTTTACTAGGAGAAAATTCACATTGCAGAAACAATCCTTGGGTGGAGGTTAACATTCGGCTTGCAATTGTTTCTCTTGACTTAAAAGGACCTGTGCCAGGTGTCTCCAGCCCAACACGTGTGGGAGCCCTGGTGTGATTAGATCTTGCAGTTCGTCTTCCTGTCTGTGTAAATATAGCTGAGAGGGGAACTCACGCCCTGGTGGCAAAGCCTGGGCAGCCTCCAGCCCACGTCTAACAAAAGAAATCTTGCATGAAAAGAGAAAAATTTAAGCACGCACAGTTCTCAGAGATATGGAAGATGCTCAGCCCCAGGTCCTGGCATTGGTATCCCTCATGCCCAAGGGGCTGACGATGCTCTTCTCTACCCTATGCCCTTTCCCTCTGGTTTCCAGAGACCAAAATCTACCGTGGGTGCACGGCCGGGGCAATGCTGCTGCGCTGGGGCCATGACGCTGCTGCTATCTCCCCGCTGCACGGGCCCCAGGTCTCTGCTCTGCCCAGATCCCTTCCCTGGCCTCTCTGTGACCGAGAGTTAATAAACAGTGTCCTGCTGGCCTCTCTTTATCTCTGGAGCGCAGTGTCAGCCCCGCTCTTGGAAGCAGATGGAGAAATGGCAGGCATTGCCATTCGGGAATGGCAACCTGGTGAGGGTCCCACTAAGCCTTGCTGCGCTCCCAGACTCTCCTTTTGCGCTGGTGTCAGCACTCTGCTGGGTGCTTTTGACACCCAAGACATGTGGGTTTGGCTTCTTCTAGCACAATTCACCTGGAGGAGCAATTAAAAATTAGCTGAAGGAGATGCTGCTCCAAAAGGGGAGAGAGAGCAAATGCAAACACAGTGTTGTGCTACACCATGGAGCTGGTTATTGCTTGACATGACTTGGATGATCCCTGTCCTGAGGACTTTACTGCAGCAAACCGACATAAAGGCAGAGCCTGGTCACCATCCTGACAGGCACCTCCACAGGCACCATCCTGCTCTTCCCTACTCTGCTAGTGATGAGACTGATGGGGGGCCGCAGGGATGGGGCACGGGCAGATGAATGCAGACTAGCAAGGAGATGGGTGCTGCACACACCCGTGAGCACTCTGGCCTGAGGACATGGATCTTGAAACAGAGGCATGAACTGTGATTCCCAGCTGGGTCGATCTTTCCCAGAATCATTTCTCAGGGGTGTTGCTGGAATGATAAATGGATGCTGGAAAGGCCAGCTGGGAAAAATTCAAGTGACTGCTTTTCCCAGGCTCCTCTATCCCTCCAGAAGTGAAAAATTTGTGCTCTCCATGACTTTCCATACCCCTGCAGCAGGATGTCAGGGAGAATACGATTCCCWGTAAAGTGCTATCTGCAGGAGGTGGGTAGAAAACTGCACCTGCTAGGACTTCTCCAGACCTGGACCTGCAACCCTGTGGAGGTGCCCAGAGGCAAAATRATGATGCCAAAATCTTCCATCTCTCCCTCCTCCTTGATCTGTTGAGCGTGTTGCAGCATCCTCTGACATGCAGAAGGGTCCTAAGACTGCTGCCCTGGGGGCCTAGGTTTTTGCAAGCACTTCTTAGGGGAAGGGTTGATTGCTGACTCGCATCCTGTTTCCCTAAAGTGTGCCTGCGTGAGGGAGTGAATATCTTGCTTAGAGAATCTGGACTCCAGGACTTTCTGCATCACAGGGCTGCACAACAGCACTGGAAATGCCTGGTGACTCAGGCAGGGACTACCTCTGCTTTAAATTAAGAGGCAGGAAAAGCTAAACAGGGTTAAGGGAAAAAAAAAAAAAAAGAAAGAAAGAAAAGAAAAAGATGGGGCCAGCCCCTTGCTGGAGCCCAGAAGAAGGAAGTATGCAGCTGAGGGGGAGGAGGAGGAGGAGGGACTGCGGTGTCTGCTCGCTGCAGCCGTTCAGCACAGCATTGGATGCTGTCACGTGGCAGATCTGCTGTCACATACAGAGCGCGTTTGCAGTGGGAGGGGGGGTGCAAAAGCAGTGCCTGTTTCCAGGAGCCACCGCTCTGCAAGCTGGGGGCTGGTGAACGCGCTGCTGTTGCTGGCCTGTAACCCAGCGGGCCACTTGCAGGAGCTGCTGCTTGTCCGGGAGTACGTCAGCCTGGGACTCCTCCACATCCCAGCACTGCAGGAAAACACCAGCTCCCCGACCAGCGCTTGTGAAATGTGGGGAAAATGCTGGTGTTGCAGCAGTTCRATTTGCTGTGACTCACGGGGAGCCACCTCCCAGCCCAGTATATGTCATGCTTGGGTTTTTACCTCCTCTTCTGCCTTTCTGGGAGGGTGCGGGCTTGTCCGTGGCTGTGCATGGGAAAGCTTTGCTCTTGTGCAGGGGAAGCGGCTGCTTGCTCTAATGCAAAGACCGGGAGAATGCACAAGGTGTTGGGAAGCTGGGGTTTGTGGTGCTAGGATGGGGATTTGGAGCAAAAATACAAATGTTAGCTGTGGTTGGTGTGAAAAGTGTCCCTCCAGGTTTCATAAAGGCAGCTCCAATGCCAGCCCTAATGYAGGGGCCTGTCTGCAGCCGAAGGATTTGGAGGAGAGTACCTGCAGAGAGGGGTGATGATGGAGCAGACGGAGGGCTGAGAGAGCCTGTCTTGCCCGAGTTGATCCCAAGAGCCTGGTGGGTCTARCTTAGCAAAGCCTTGGATGTGGAGAGTCTCTATAAATGAAGATGGAGTGAACGACGGAGAGGGTGGAGAGCTGCTTTGGTCTGAGGACAGCACTGTCCAGTAGAACACATGGGTGCATAAGAATGGACAGAGAAGGTGACACAGTACAGATTTTTGGGAAGAGCAGCTGAGGAGAGCAAGGTAATTTGATTTCTCGGCACCTCTCCTTTACTACACTTAGAGCTTGACCAGCTTAGGAAAGAGCTTAAAACAACATAGTGAGGTGTGAGAGCAATTTCTTGGCCTTTCTGCTGTGTCCTGGCTCTGTGGATGGGGGTCTGTGCAGCCCTGGGCTGGGGGTCTGTCACTGCGGGTCTGTGCAGCCCTGGGCAGAAGAACTGCCCAGGCCTGCAGGCCTGGAGAAGCTGTCGCCCCAGGGGCCACCATGTGCCAGACACAGGCCCTGGCTTGTGATGGTGGAGAGGGCATGGCCGACCCCAGGCCGCATGCCCCATTCTGGAAACTTGAGCCCAGTCCTGGTGCTTTGTGAAGCAACTTGGTGATCTCCAGCTCCAGGTGGTTCCTAATCATACTCAGAAGGGATGTGAGGATCCAATCTTTGTTTTAGAGCTTAGCTTGCTTTTGTTTTTGTAAAGTATGACACAGTCAGGGGAGGTAGGGCCTGGCCGGCCATCACAGCCCTCTGCAGAGAGCAGGATGGGTTTCCTTCTTGGCTTCTTATTTATATTTTTAGACGACATTGAAGTCACAAGGTCACCAGAGTACGTGAAATTCCACCCTGGAGTCTGGACCATCTCCTCGTCCGCCATGTGTGGCATTCCCTGTCCTGCTTCTCTGAGGACAGCCTGGAGTCAACAGCTGAGCCGGGGCTCAAGTGTCATGGCCTCTGCCGTGCGGGGCTGACGTCAGCGCAGGGGGTGGCAGGGGCTGTTCTCTGGGCACAAACACACGGCCTCCCTGTCCATTACCTCACGGCCTCGTGTCGCCTCTGAGGAGGGAGGGCAGGCCTGGTCCTGGCAGCAGCTGCAAGCTCCGGGGAAACATGATCCGCCTGTTTGCTGGGACTGAGTTCACACCGAGAACAACAACAACAACAAGCTGAGCCTGGCAAATGGTGGGATTGTTGTCACAAGGGTCTTGGTGCTCAGCTGTCCCACTCTTTATTCCCTTCCTGCACCTCCTCCCACCGCACTCCCCAGGTTTCCTCACTTGGACACCAGCCACTTAGTGAAAGAGCCAGGGATGCGCTGTGCTGCCCTGTGGTGATGGAACTTTAAGGCTGGCCTAGTGAACCAGCCTCACCATCCGCAGGGCAGAGCCATCGGCAGATGCCAGGGCCGCATCCCAGCTCCTGGGCAAAGCAGCCAAAGGGCATCCAGTCCGGAGGTGCACAGAGGGCATCAAATCATAGACTTCTTATGGCTGGAAAAGATCATCAAGCCCAACCATAAACCCACCACTACCAGGTCTGTTAAACCACCTCCCTAAGTGCCTCATCTGCATGTTTCTTGAGCACTGCCATCTCCATGTTTCTTGAGCACTGACTCGTCACCATGCCCTGGGCAGCCTGTTCCAATGCTCAACTACTCTTTCCATGTAGAAGTTTTTCCTAATATCCARCCTGAACATCCCCTGGCCTTACTCCTTCACTGGTGTGGATGTGACCTAGACCTGTTGTGCCTTTGCTGCCCAGTAGTGCAGAGCCGTCTTTAGCTCCGCTATTTGCCCTACTTATCTGGGCCTGGAAACCCTGGRCCAAGAGCAAGGGACATGGCTGGGCTGAGGCTGCAGTGTTGTTGGATGTGAGGCTCCGGTTTCAGGGCCCTCAGGTACTTTGCATAGCACAGAGGTCAAATAAAGAGTATTTCAGAGCCACAGCAGAGATATTGAAATGGCCTCTGCAGGCAGAGCAGATCCTGGCTCTGGCCTAGACCATCCAGACCTCTAGGAGAGAGACCTAGGACTGCTGCCTGCTCTCTTCCCTGGAAGGCTTCACGCTGCAGAGCTGCATGGTTGCTAGGAATAGTGCTGCTTAATATCTCCTGCATGAGCAGCAGCATTGGATCACATCCCTGGCAGTGGCAGGCCTTCTGGAAAGGCCTATGACCTCAGTGGAAACATTTGAATTATGGCACTTTGGATAAGGTAAGATGGCACAAGAGCAAAGCTTGCAAACGGGAGGAGGAGAGGTCCCCACCTGTAGTTGGACCAACTGCATCAGCGTGCTCACATATTTTAAACTGGAGAGAATGAGATCTGAGGGGCTGTGATGGGTTTTTCTCTAGCTGCTCTCTATGGTCACCCACCCAAGAGAAGTACAAAGCAGGGAAGAGCAGAAAGCTCAAATACAGTGAGGAGGAGGCCAGAGCTGGCTTGACAGACCAATGAGTTGGCAATGTGGTGAGTCAAAAGGAAAGGAAGGGAGGAAAGCTAGCAAAAAGGAATGTGTGGGGGGATTAAAATGGCATAGCACATCTCCTCTTGAACTCTTTGCAGTGTTGGCGTGGTCTTCACATCTGAGCTCTTTCATAAAGGCCTCCTGCTGATTCCTTTCTCCAGTAGCCAGAGAAGGACATGTCGGAGTTTGGGCGGGCTCCCAATTTGGGCTGAACCAGGACAGTGGCAGTCAGTTTGACCGGCCAGTGGACTGAGTCCCAAAGGGCTTGATCAGCTGTAGAGTAACCATCATCAGTCACTACTCACTCCTGAACCACCAGCAGCTCCTGGGTGTAATGTGTGGAGGTTGTTTCACCAGCAGCGCAACACCACCCTGTACAGASCTCATCTCCAGCAGCCAAGTGTCTTGTAACATCCAGACAGGGCTGGGGTTTGACAGTGACTCAGGCAGGCAGGAGTCGCACATCTTGAGTCACCACTGATGGTGCTGCTGAAAGCAGTCTCATTGCTGGGAAATCTGCCTGGGACTGGGGCCTGTCCACCCGCTTGGACTTAGAAGGGGTGATGGCCTCACAGCCTGTTGTGCTGCGGCTGTAGCAAAAAAAGCATCGCGTCCAAGCCAGCAACAGCAAGGCTTGAAATAAAGGGAGAAACCGTCCCCTGAGATGCTGACTCAGCTGGAAACTGTAACAAACAGTTGCTTCCAGGAAGAGCAGAGAAGGTCTGACCTTAGCTTCAAGGCAACCAATTTGGTTYGGTTATTAGGACGAGGCATGCTGAGAGGCATCATTCCAGAGGTGCTCCTTGTGAAAAACCTTGCTCTGCATTTGCCGGTGACCCTACAAGAGACAGTTTTCCCTGAAGCGAGTGCCTGAAAGACTGGAGTCACTGGGCTCGGGTGGTCCAAGCATCCAGTGGTACCTTGCCATCCCACCCGTCTGTGATGACTGTCTTTCTCCTAGCTCTGCAGGACCTAGTAATTTTTGTCAACTGTGAATCTTTTTCGACTCTTTGATATAGGGGCCCCTTCCAAATTTCTTTGCCCACTGTTTGCAAATTTTTCTGTTCTCCCTTCTTTATCTGTATGGTACATATACACGCACACTTGTGCAGGGAGCAGCTGCTTTGATCTGAAATCTCACCTCACCAAGAACCATTCCTGCACAGGAGAAGTGAGGTTTGATAATGTTCAAATTAGGGCTTGAACCTAAAAGATTGTGATGAGCCCTGCATGAGAGCAGCTGGACCTGAGGAGAAGGAGCACGGGAGACGTAGAGCACTGCTGCTTTTATCAGAAACATGAAGCAGCCTCTGGCTGTCCAGGCTGCTGCGTGGCAGGTTTGTAGGCTTTGCATCACTGAGAGACTGCCGCTTCTTCCCATGCACTTTTTGATGTCTCATTAGCCCGTTACTCTTTTGACAGCTGCAGCGATCATGCCACGGTTCAGCATTATTTTTATAATTTTGAAAGGTTTTCTTTTTAACCGTTTTTTTCCTTCCTTCTATCCCTTGGAAAGGAAAATTTCCAGACTGCTGTCAGAGCTGGTTCCGGGCTTCTTGGCAATGAAGCAAAGMAGCACTTCAGTGTCTCCAGGATGAGGGGAGAAGCAGCTTGTTAGGTGTCAGCAAGGCTAACCTTAGGGCAGTGTATGCCCCCAAATGTGTCCTTTGCTTACACCTCCCAGGCAATGGCTTTGTTCCAGACTACTCCACTTATTTTTTTCTAGACCTTCTTTTCGGACACTCATCCTATTTTCCGTAACAGGCTGTTTCCCCTACCAGCAAAGGCACAGCCACCAGCTTTTATTTCTGCACAAACTCTTCCACTTGTGCCTTTTATCCATGCAGGAAACATCTGCCCTCCCGTGTTCAAAGTCCTCTACAAAGAGAAGCAAAGGGTGCACTGACCTCATGGAGTAAATATTTTCCATGACCCTCCTCCATCTCCTTCCAAGCTCGGCACCTATAGGTGCATCCCTGCTCCGTGTCTGAAGCTGGCTGGGCCTTGCCACCTGCTCTAACCCGGTGTTTGCAAGAGGGCCTCAGATTGACTTTTGCCCTCTCTCCATTTCTACATGCTGCAATGCATTTGCTGCAATGCAAATTAAAATCCAAAGGCTTTGGTTACCCCTCTGTACCACCCTGTTCATGTGGATTAGGGAGGAAGTGCATTACGCTGCCAGCAGTAATGACAAGTGTGTATCACACTGGGAGGTGTCGGGGGATCCTTGTGCAGCTCTCGCCTTCTGCTTTGGTTGTGCAGGGAACGAGGCGCCTGTTTTTGCCCACTCCTCATGCAGGATGTGGGTCTTTGCTCTTAAGCAAGTGCTGTGCTCCTCTCTRCAAACAACAAAAGGGCTTTTTGCCCTTGAGCAGATGTGAAGACCATTAATTGTGCATYGCACCTGAGGGCAGCAACTCAGTTCAGGGAAAGAGCAGTGGGACTTGTCCTCCTGTCAGAAACCTGTGGGGCTGAGTTTGCACCGTGTGTCAGGAGCACACTTAGCTAGGTACATAAATCTTGCCTCTCCAGGAGGCCGGGGTCTTCCCTGGGGCTGCTCTTCTCGCTCCACACATTTCTGGGGAGGGAAGCCGTGGCTAACCTCACTGCAAACAAAAATTAGCGTTTTTTGTTGTTGTTGTTGCTTTGGGGTTTTTCTCGTGCTTAGTTTGAACAATAAAACATCTGTTCTTGAGCGCGGCAGCTGGACCAAAATGAAATGACGTTAGCATCAATTATCCTCTGGGATGCAGAGCATGACAAGAGAATGGTGCAGATTTCTTTAGCACTGAATAACAAATGAGCACAGAGGCTTGGAGAGGTATTTCATGTTTCCAGATAGTGCCAAAGCAACAAGACTGCTCGAGTCCCTGAGTTGAGGTGCCCCCTTTGGCTGCCCAAATTCCTGGGCACTTGTGTAGCCCCTGTGACACTTTGGCGTGTGATGCATTCRCCCGACCGTGGTGCAGAGCGCTTGGGAGATCCAGACATGGCTTTCCACAAACCTATCCTGATCCTGACCAAACCCTGAGCAYGGGCCTGGGCATCACCTGCTGCAGGCTACCAGGCTGTCCTGCCTGCCCCAAGGAGGGTGCCAGTGCTAGGGACAAGGTGGTGGTGGGATGCGAAAAAGGGCAGACTCATGGGCACTATGTGTGTGCAACATACTGAAAATACAACAGAAAAAAAGAAATCCTACCCCTCCCAAGCCAGGTTCTTCGAAGGACATTATTTCTGCACACCCTGGGATCACTGGGAAGAAATGTAGCTGTGGGAAAACGCACAGAAACTATATTCAAGGAGTGCTTTTATGTCTTATACCTGTGTAGCCAGATGCCTGCATAACTTAATGCAGGCCTCTGGAAGTCATTCAGGCTGCTGCAGTTTTGAAGCCTCTCAAATAGCTTCCCTGCTCCACAGGGAGTCGTGAATTTTTAGGCCTGACAGCTTAGAGAGCCCAGGGGGCAGGATGCAGCTGTAGGCTGCAGAAGATCCCTTGGTGGGRCAGGGTTTGGGGTCTAACCTTGCTCACGGTGGAAAAGCAGGAGCTCCGGCAGGCTCTCTGTGGCTTTGTGAGGAAGGTAAATGTTTGGGGTGAGCAAAAGGGGAGAAAGAAGCAGCTGCCTCAGAATAACAGCTTGCTTTGAAATGCCCCTCGCTTCCCGTGCAACATCCGACTATTGGGAAGCTCAGTTGGCTGTGGGGATGCAGCTGAGCTGAGGAGAACTGCAGAAGAAATACAGGCACTGCAGGTGTTGTAGGTGGGTTTCTCGGGGCCTCTTCCATGAATGCTGCAGCCAGGGATGTGCCTGCAGCTCGTGATGTGCTCCAGCTCTGCGGCTCTCTTGGGGCTCAGGAGCATCACCCAGCAAAGACACACTGAGAAAACACCCTCGCTTACTTGCCTGACACATTTTACTCCAATCCTTTGTTGCCTTTGGCCTCCAAGGTTGGGTCTATCGAGAAGGCAAAGTCACTCCTCGTGTGCCCACGTGCGTCACTTCTTCCCAGAGCCTGCGCTCAGCAGAAACTCCCGCACTGCCCTCTCCTACGGGAAAATTGAGGCAAGTGGGGAGAGCCTCCACTGCGGCAGCGGTGGCAGCAGGGTGAGCGCGGGGCACCAGGGCCAGGACCTCTCTTGCCACCCGCCCCAGTGGGCAGCCCCCTCAGGCCATCATTTCAACACACGCACCTCCACCTCCCTCCCTGTTTGCACAGCTCAAAATGTTCCGGGCACTATCAGTGTTTGCCCTTTTGCCACTGTTTGGGCTAGCTGCACTTTAGAGGCAATAAAGTCAAGCTTTGTTTGCTTACAAGAAAACAGTACTTTTCCCTCGTTAGGTAAGCCACTGTGGTCTGAGAAGCGCAGCATAAACCATCTCTGCAATCCCTAAGCCTGCTTGGGCTGCTGGGCCTGGATCCTCCCATGGGTGATGTCCAAGAGCCAAAGGTGCCTATGGAGGTAAAAACACCTGGCCCATGCCATGTGTTAGAACCTTAACCTTAGGTTAGGTTCTTAGGTTCTAAGGTTAGCTTGGTTCTTGCCAATACTTGGCACAACGTAACGGGCATCTACCTCGGCAAAGAGCAGCATCACCTTGGCCTTCAGGGGGATGAAGACATGCTCTGCTGCCGCTTGCCGGCTGCGCAGGCTTGGGTGCTCCTGTTCTGCCTTTTAGATTTTATTTTATTGGTGTGGAACTGGAGAGAAAGCAGCACGTGCCATTGCAAAAGGAGAAACACTGCT